TTTTTTAGTGGTTTTGTTGCAAAGTTTCTTCCATTCAATTTCATTTAAGAGTTCACTACCTCTAAATCGAATTACTCTAACACTCTCCTGGCCACCCTCCCATTTGCACTCTCCAGAAATTTGACTTCACACAAGACTCTGCTGTCTGAGCCTTAACACCTTCAGTAAGTCTTGGTCCAGTGATTTTAAAATTCTTATCCTCGTTTGCAATCTCCCAGGGCCTCAGCTCGTGCTATCTTTGTATCTTCCTTTAGCCCTTCAACCCCCGAGATCTCTGCACTCCTCTAATTTTGACCCTTAGGGCGGCACGGTGGCTCAATGGTTAGCACTGCTGCCTCACAGTGCCAGGGACCCGGGTTTGATTCCAGCCTCGGGCGACTGTTTGTGTGGAGTTTGCACATTCTCCCCGTGTCTGCGTGGGTTTCCTCCGGGTGCTCCGGTTTCATCCCACAGTCCAAAGATGTGCAGGTTAGGTGGATTGGCCATGCTAAATTGCCCGTAGTGTTCAGGGATGTGTAGATTAGGTGGGTTACAAGGAGACAGGTCTGGGTGGGACACTCTGAGGTTTGGTGTGGACTTGTTGGGCCGAAGGGCCTGTTTCCACACTGTAGGGATTCTATGATTCTTAGTATAATACTGATTTGACTCCACCATTGGTGGTTGTGCGTTCAGGTAAATGGATTCTTATTTCTGGAACTCCCTCATCTCCCTCCCCTAAACTTCTCCACTGTCTCTCCTCCTTTAGGATATGCCTTGAATCCTATGTTCTTTGAACTAGTATCTACATCTGTAGTTTGGTGTCCATATTTGTTTGATTATATTCCTATGTGGTACCTAGGTGCATTCAATCATGTTAAAAGGACTATATAAATGCAAGTTGTTGTACATTCCATGCTGCCAAGTTGTTTTTGGCATCTCATACAAATGATTATTCCTAAATGGGTGATCCCAAATGAGGCATGTTCACTGACTATAGAAACATTGGGGACATCATAGTTAACAACAACTTGCACAGTTTTTGTGTAGCAGCTTTCAGATAATGAAATGTCTCAAGGTACTTCAGAGCAGCACTGAAAAATAAAGCATGACACTGAACCACACAGGAGATATTAGGTCAGATGGCCAAATCCTGGTCAGAGAGTTACAAATGAAGTGTCTGAAGGGAGGAGAATGAGCTGGAGACGGCATTCCAGACTTGGGGCCAAGAAAACTGAAGGTTCAGTAAATTCATTTATTTAATATATTGTCACTTGTACCTATGCATGGTGAAAAAAAGTGGATAATGTCGCCACATTCTGGCACCACTTTGGATTACATAATATATTACTGAATAAATTGTACAGATGGTAAAATAGAATTATCATAGAAACACAGAATCCCTACAGTGTGGAAACAGACCCTTCGGCCCCACAAGTTCACACCAACCCTCGGAGCACCCCACCCAGGCCCACCCCCCTGTTACCTAATCTACACATCCCTGAACACCATGGCACCTGCAAATCTTTGGACTGTGGGAGGAAACTGGAGCACCCGGAGGAAACCCACGCAGACACGGGGAGAATGTGCAAACTCCATACAGACAGTCACCTGTGGCTGGAATCAAACCTGGGTCCCTGGCATTGTGAGGC